CCCCAAAACCCCAAAACCCCAAAACCCCAAAACCCCACATGTAGATATAAAATTACAAATGAGGGAATGTGGAATTATAAAAAATAATTAATATCTATAAGCTATCTATTAATTTATATGCAGGGATTATATTTCTACTAATTATACATTAAACCTCATCATTATAAAGCAATGAAGGTTTAGGTCTGCCATCAGTAGGACGGCTTCTTATAAATATTGGTCTGTAATTGAAAGCTCTAGCTTTCAATGTTCATACTGTACCTGTGATTGTGGATAATCTTAACAGAATTAGTGTTATTTGCAGCAGAGGATTCAAAGCTTTGTTACTGATTCTAGCTTCTCTAGCTGGTCAGACTTGAACATATTGTGGACTTATCAGATTTTACCGACATAAAATTACGTTCGTATTCCGAAAGTATATCCTCTTCTGTCAGTCTTTCCTCCACGACATTGAGCTTTTAACCTCTGAATGAGACTTCAGCTGATTAAGCAAATTTAACATTTCTTTGTTAATTTTTACTCACTTTCTCTGTAATCATTGACCTGCTATTTTTGTTTTGTGTAGAAATAGCTTAACGAATCTTATTAAGGCTATTGCCTCTTTCAGCTAATTTGATCTGGCCGTTCTCGTCAATGTCAGTAATTACCATAATATGCTTCTTAGATGATCTCTGAGAGGCGATTTCCTGCTTATGCTTGATCTTATTCAGTGCCTGCTCAGTAGCCTTGTTGTACTTTGGATTAGCTAATTGGTTCTTAGTAATCTTTATTTCTTGAGACCCTTTTCTATTGTGACCCTATCTATTTGCGATTTTTTCTTATTTGGTTTTGTAGTCGCTGAAAGACTAAGCCATGATTGCTATTTTCAATTCCAAATAGTCTTCCTGTGAAATGACATGATCCTTGGTTTCTTGACGATTTTAGACTGGCTAGAAACCGATTATTTTGACAGTTGACTTTTGTTTTTCTTAGATACATCCCATTATGATCTGATTGTTATTTTTATTACTGCTTGTTTAAATTCAAATTTACCTTTATATCAGTACATGTGGGGTTTTGGGGTTTTGGGGTAGCCATTGCTTGACATCATTTGA